TGTAATATAATTTTTTTGTAACTAAATTTAATTTAGTTTTCTCATTAATTTTAAAATTTAAGAATAATTTTTTAACAAGCACCCGTGTAATACACGGGTGTTGTACTAGTTAAAAAATAATGCATTTATACTTGAGTTGTAATCCAAGTTGTCATCTAAGTAGGCTATGTAGCATTACTCAAATTTCGAAATAGACACATGTAAATATTTTTGAATCAAATTTAATCATATTGTTAAACAATTTGGCAGGTTTTTCGTTTTCAATTATTTCAAAAACAAAACTAATTTCAAGCCATTTCTTAAATAAGAATACCATATAAATCTTTTTTTTAAAACAGATTTGGAGATTTTTATGCAAAAAAATATGTCAATTATTAATGATCCGTACACAAATTAATTTATAAATCGTTCGTATCATTTTTTTTTTTACCGAATCCGTACCCCTTTTTTTTGTAACAAATTTGAAAATTCCTATGCAAAAAATATGAGATATTTACATTTAAAAAATTGAGATATTCCAACAATAATGGATTTTCAGATTTTTTTTCCCATTCAAATTAATGTTGCAAATCAACCAAAAATTTGTTTTGGGATTATTGGATGCTATACCAAAAAAAATTGATAAACTCCAGTTCTCCATGAATTATTTATATTTATGAGTTTTGTGTGTAAATATATTGATTTGCTTTTAAAATAAAAATAACTCCTAAGTTTTTTTTTTTTTTATCTTTTTGGCGGATTATATTCTTTAATTAAAATAATACATAACTTATTTGATTAAAACAACTTATTTTTCAGCATATAATCTTGAAAAATTGAAAATCTACTAATTTACCAAAAATCACAACTTAAATATATATATATATATATATATATATATATATATATATTAACATAAAAAAGTGAAATATTTAGCCGAAATATTATGTGAAATCTACCTAAAATTTTGTTTTTATTAATAATGATTTTTTTTATATCGCAAAATCTATTAATATATAAAAAGACAATAATAGTAGTAACTAAAAATCAGTTAAAAAAAAAACATATGGTTTCCCGCCTAAGAATTCAGATTTACTAAATTGGGTAATTTTTTTGGCCAAAATTTGAAATTTACCGCCTAAACTAATGTAGTTCATGTACATAATCATTTTGATTAAATATTGCGGCTATTACCTTTATTAGTTGCATGATTTAAATTTGGTATATACTATATTGACAAAACTTGGCGGTTATTACATTTATTAGTTGCATGGTTTAAATTTGGTATATAATATATTGAAAAAAAATAAAAAAGATTTTTATTTAAAATTTTTAAAAAAATATTCATAACTTACTGGTCAATTTTAACTTGGACGTAAATGAAATAGTCAATCATTTATAACTTAATAAGTTACTCAAAAACTTACGGGTCAATATTAACTTGGACGTAAACGAAATAGTTAATTATTTATAGTTTAATAAATTATTCGACTACTTAATTTTTCTATTTGAATGGGTTATAAAAAAAAAATTATTTTAATTAATGAAACAATATAAATTTTATATTTATAGTTATTATTCACATAGGTTGTTAAATATATGATAAAATTTTACCAAAATAACTATTTTATGGAGTCACATTATAGTCAAATCAAATTTCTGAATAAAAAAAGTTGAAATGACGCTTATTTTAAAGGAATATTATGAAATTTATTATCAATTATGTGCATAACACGGGTTGTGTACTAATTTCAAATAAACATTTTTATATAATTTTGCACATTTTAAACTTTATATACCATTTTTAATAAATTAATATAGGTAAATCATATTACATATTGATTCTATATTTTTAATTTATACATATTATTTAATAAGATTTTTCAATTTATAAATATTAATAAATATCTCTTACCCGTGCACTGCACGAGATTCATACTAGTTCACTCCAAAAGCACAATTTGATTTTGAAAAAAAAAAATATTGAAAATCCGGTCAAATCTCTGTTTATTTATGGTATTTTTGCTATATTTATCTAACAACAAAATCTTTTTAAAGTTTGTCAAAATCTCCTATTATGTGAATTATTGGTAAAAAAAATCATATTTATATAGCTACAAAATGTTTGTATATTTAGGAAAGAATTCCATATTATTCAGATTCACTTATTATTTTTTTGTACACAAAAATGGAAACTCCAATTTGGTTTTAGATTATTTATGAACTATTCACAATGAATTATTTATTTTTATGAATTTTGTGTATAAATACATTGATTGATTTGCTTTTCATAAATAATAATAAATTATATTATTTTCTGACATAACTCCTAACCCTTTTTTTAGTGGTTTATATTCTTTAATTTAAATAATATATAGCTAATTTTATTAAAAAGACTTATTTTCCGGCATATAATCATAGAAAATTAAAAATCTATTAATTTACCAAATATCACTACCTAAATCTATATACATTAACATAAAAAGGTGAAACATTTAGTTGAAATAGTATGAAAAATTCCGCTTAAAATTTTCGTTTTAACTTGTAATGGTTTTTTTTTTTCAAAAGAAAAAAAATAATCGTAAATTCACTCCAAAAGCACAATTTGATTTTGAAAAAGAATCTTCTAACTACAAAATACTTTTAAAGTTTGTAAAAAAAAAAAAAAAAGTCCATATCATGTGAATTATTGATAAAAGAAAATGTTCATATTTATATAGAAAATCTTTCTAAATTTTGTACAATATTTCATATTATGCGGATTCTTTCTATTATTTGGTGTACACAAAATTGAAAAAGTCAATTTGGTTTTAGATTGTTTACGAACTCATTTATGGTCTATGTAGAGTATTCCATTTTGGTTTAATTTAAACAAAAATAATCAACTAATGCACAACACTTTATATAATTGGTTGTATAGTTTTTGGGGAGTGAAGCCGCTCTACCAGGCTAGCTCGGATCGGAGAGGTTCAAAGACAGAAAACAAAAGTAGTTTGACCGGAATAATCCAGGCTCCAAAAATAATTTTTTGAAGTAATGCTCAATGATTTATGAATATTGTATATATTATTTTATTAATATTTATGTAACTAAATGATATTGCATTATATTACACCTTTTATTAATGTATGGTAAATCAAAATTTCTCATAATCGGACCATCATCAAACCGATCAAGTTATTTATTCAATACATTATTGCTTGACAGGATTTAATTTATTAATATTAATTAATATTTATTCTATTTAAATATGTATTTTTTTATAGAATAATTTTAAATTTTACACAATCCATTTAAAAATCATATAAATCCTACAAGTTCAAGCGGGATGTGGGTCAGTTCACAAACAAACATTTTATTCAAGCGAACTGGATGGATCAATTAGTCGTTTCGTGGTCCACTCAGTTGGACTATTCAATTCGGTTCGATTTTGAAAACAATGAATAAATCATGACTATTGCTATTTAATTATTTTAACTATAATACAATCGTAATATTTTCCATCGTGCATCAACAACATATTGATTTTCTTATGAAAGTCTCGAATTAAAAAAAAAAAAAGAAATAAATAAAGAAAAGAACACATGATTAACAGCAGCATAAAATCGTTTGGGGTTCTTTATAAATAAAACAGACTTCAGGGGCATATATGAAACTAACAGAAAAAACATAAACGGACCAACAAAAGAAAACAATCAACAGGAGGGAGGGTGTTGAGACTTTTTTTCAACTCGCAGCAGCCTAAACCCTACACCGGGAAATTTGACACAGCGCCATGCTTCTCCAACCCACCTTCCCAAAATCTCTTCCTAAACAGAACCGCAGCATTATATACGCTCCAAATGCGCCCTCATTTTCATCTGGGCTCCTTAAAAATTCGACCTTTTTTCTGAAACAGTCCATCTTATCCACCAGCAGCTACAGAATCCATCATAAATATCCGGCTTTAATTACGTGTTCATCAGAATCGAAAGTGCACAGCTATGGGACAGCTGACTACGAGAAGAATCCCACGCTGAAGTGGAACAATATTTGCAATCAAATATTTAAGCTGGAAAAGTCGAATTTGGGGGCTGCTTCAGTGTTGAATCAGGTGGAAAATGAGGGCCAGACGATCACAAAATCGGAGATTTTAAAAATTTTGAAGGAGCTCAGGAAGTTTAGGCGGTTCAAGCTTGCACTTGAGGTAAAATTGATTCTTGAACGGAAAAAAAAAAAAAAAAATGGGGAAAAAGAAGAATTGGAAAAACACTCAAAGTTCAAGTTCTTAGGAGAAGAAGTGTGGGCTGATTCGTACTCTGTGGTTTTATGGAGAATGAATTGTCCTCGATTTATTCTATTGTGTGTTCCTTCATCATTTTCCAACATATATGTACAAAGTTAAGGTTTTTTATTTGGTTGATATGCATGCCTCCTTTTCTTCTTTTCCTGAAAAATATACTGTAGATTTTGTTTTTCTTGTTAGATAATAATCTGTTTGCATTGGTCCAAATGCTGAGAATTGTGATTAGGGTAAGGTAAGATGGCATATATTTGACTATGTAGTATCTTGTGAGAATCTTGATTACTGACCAAATTCTTTAGAACTACCACAAATATGTATAGAGGTAGATGAAACTCGTTAATGTTTTTTCTTCTGAGTGGAAAATGTGACAAAAATAATAGACGACTTTCGCTTCCAGCCATCTGACCTCAATTGGGTAATGCTTTGGTTGCTAATGATGATGTACTATAAAGCTAGACTGTTGTTTTGGGTTCTTCTGAGTTGGATGGATACAACTTTGGTTTTTCAGTTTTTACATCAAGTGTCAGTCAGTGAAAAAAGGTTGTATATAATGATGCATGTTGCCTCGGTTTTGCAATATCTTATTCCTGGTGCTTAACATCTTACTGAAACGCCTTGCTCGCCAAGCGAGGGTATGATGATTAGCTTAGTAGAAAGTTGATATAACCTAGAAGGCTGCTTATGTGTGTTATTCTTCAACTTCCAAGTTTGACACAGTAGGTTACTAGCTTTTCAAAGCCAATTTTGTTTTATAAGATATTTATATGATTATTGAGCTACTCTAATCTCGTACTGTTTTCTTTAAGTTTTTTTTAATGCTAGCTCCATAAAGTTAAAATGCATGCTTTTTTCAGGTATGTGAATGGATGAATAACAGGTCTGAGAGGTTTAGAGTAACCACCAGTGACACCGCCATACACCTCGACCTCATTGCAAAAACGCACGGCATCTCGAGCGCCGAACAATACTTCAAAAAATTACCAGACGGCTTAAAGGACAAGAGAGTATACTCCTCCCTCCTGAATGCATACGCCCGGTCAAAAATGAGGGAAAAAGCTGAGTCCTTATTTGACAAAATGAGAAATCGAAACTACACCGACCATACCCTTCCTTTCAACTTGATGATGACCCTCTACAGGAACCTCAAAGATTACGAGAAGATCGAGTACATAGTATCAGAAATGGTTGAGAAAAGGATATCGCTTGATACCTATACCTACAATGTATGGCTGTCTTCCCTTGGGTCCCAAGGCTCCCTGGACAAAATGGAGCAAGTTTTTAAGCAGATGGAGCTCGACAACTCCGTAAATCCCAACTGGATAACTTACAGCACAATGGCCATGAGGTATATTAAATCGGGGCTCCTGGAGAAAGCTGAGGAATATCTGAAGAAAATCGAGGACCAGATTACAGGCCAAAACCGTTTGCCTTACCACCATCTCATTAACCTGTACGCTGCTGCAGGCAAGAAGGAGGAGGTTTATCGAGTGTGGAGCATTTACAGGGCCTCATTTGTATATATCCCTAACATCGCGTATCATGATGTAATTTTAGCCCTCACCCGCCTGGATGACATCGAGGGTGCCGAGAAGATGTACGAGGAGTGGCTTTCGGTGAAATCGGCTTACGACCCGCGGGTGGGTAATGTGCTTTTGAGCTCGTATGTGAGAAAGGGACTTTCAGAAAAGGCTAAGACTTTTTTCGAGCAGATGATGGAGATTGGGGGGAAACAGAACTCGATGAGTTGGGAGATACTCTCGGAGGACCACATTGCAAATATGAGGATTCCGGAAGCCCTTTCTTGCCTGAAAAATGCTGCAGCCTTAGCTGAGGGGTCAAGAAACTGGAAGCCGAAGCCCATAAATGTGTCGAAAATTCTCAAGATTGTGGAGGAAGGTGATGATGTGGCAGGTAAGGAGTCATTGTTGGAGATTTTGAGTGAGGTTGGGTGTCTGAACGATGCAAATTACATGTCATATATACCCTTGTCGGGTGGTGAAAAGTTAGCCGGGATGGGCCCGAATGAGGAGGGCAGTGCTGGGGATGAGGGTGATGATGGAAAATTTGAGCTTCTCGACCAACTCCAGGAGAGCTTCTGAGTGCTCTTTCTGTGTTGTGATTTTGTGGGAGTATGGTTTCTACAGGCGTGTTTTGTTATTGAGTGTTGTTTTTGTTCAACTCTATCAATGGGCAAAACGAACTTCACAAGTGTGGAATTCGGTCATTTTGTGCCTGAAAATGGTACAAGCATCAATCCATGCTTAATGACCCCTTTTGCATCAGAATTAGGGTTGCTAAGGAACCGAACGTTCGCGAATAACAGCTTGTTCGTTTGCTAATCGAGCCAAGTTCGAATAGAAAATTAGGCTCGTTTAATAATCAAACGAACATGAGCACGTTCGCTAATGTTCGTGGATATTTATATTATTTTATTTTCTAATATATTTAAACGATATTTTAATAAAGAAATCTATATAATTTAAAAATATTTTTATTTTATTTTTTATTTTCGATTTCGAATACAAATTCTCGTTTGAACTCGAAAGTTTTGAGTTAATCAAACAGATTTAAAAAGTGTATGTCATGAATTATTTGAACGAAGTTGAACTTTGACAAACAATTAAACGAATGATCTCGAACAAGATTTTTTGGTCGAAAAATAAACGAATAAACACGAACATTGTTCGAATGTAAATGAACACGAGATTGGAACACCTAATTCGGCTCGTTCGTTTTGATTCAGCACTAATCAGAATCAGTGCATGCTCATTCCATACTTTTGTCCATTTTCTCTAGGGATATTTTTATTTGAAAAGTCTCTGATGAAAAAAGAAAGAAAAGAAAAGAAGGGATGATTAACCAAATAATGCAACATATATAGGAACACTACTAGGAATTGGCCCTCAAAAATTGAACAATATATATAATATATTGTACCATATCTTATATTTGGTCACACTTTGATGAAAACAAGCACAACATTACTAATTCGTCTACACCTTAGAAATTCAATAGTGTTTGGATGTAACACATAAATACAACGAAATTTGAGGACCGTCGATTAATTGGTACTTTTGATTGCAGTAGAAATAGAGATAGTCACGGGGTGCCAGAAGGTAAACACAAGGTACAACAGTGCTTTGCCAGCATGCTATTACTCACAAATGACAAAACCAAGCAAAAATCAGGTTTTCTTGCTCACCATTTTTTTTTTTCCTTAACGGAACGATATGAGTTTTATATATAACATACATAATTACGACTAGAAAACAGACCAAGGCAGCATCTAATGAGGTTTCATCCCAAAAACTAATTGGTGGAAGGAGGAGTAGCCCATTAGACTGATGAGGTGAGTCTATTTTCCATGTATGAACGATGTGGGACAACTCACAAGTGATATTTTAACACTTAAATTAACCTTTTGAATAGAATAGATTGCCTTTTATTTTTAAGGATTATTTATTTCATACTATTATTTGTGCCGACAATTGGGGGTTTAAAAAAAGCTGTCAACTCTTAAGAAAAAGGCAACCTCAAGTACTTGTGATACAACATGTGACTAATCATATATATTATGTGGTCCAAATGAGCTTAATTAATTAGCTCAAATGTCATATATATTGTCCTTCTGTAGAATAGAGTTCAAAACATACACATTTGGTTGGATCAACCCAATTATCATACTTTTTTTATAATTAAAAATCTAATTCAAAATGGGTTAATTTACATAGTTAGTTTAGATTATTAATCCTTAAAAGTATGGTATTTCACTGCTGCAGCACCATCATATATATATATATATAGGGATTGGTTCCAATACATCCGCTT